TCAACCGACTTCTTTTATCGGTAAAATTTGTATATTATCACAAATTAAGATAAAAATTTTCTTTTTTTGCTATACGATATGTATCCCAAATTTCGCAAGACAATATTTAGAGTATTTTATATACCGGTTCTCAACACGTCAACTTAACAATATGCCAATGTTTATTCAAAGTTGCGATATCTAGTCATGAAAAAAATACTCGCACAGTTCTGTTTTATAACATTGGAAAAATATCTGCAAAAAATAATAACGATTTAAATCAACTCTATTCGCAGTAATTTGAACCGATCGTAAAAGTTTCATTAAAAAGACTCAGTAACATGGAAGGATCGTGATCTCCTTGAAATGAGAAACAACCAAGTTAAGCAAAGTAAGGGAGAATCTTTTGGAAAAGCACGTAACCTTTTCTTATCGAGATAATGTCTTTAATACATTCAATATGACCGCAGAGCTTAAAAACCGGAATATTGTAAGACCGTTGTTCTTGACTTTGGAGGCATGTAGATTAAGTGAAATATTAAATAAATTGTAGTTAAAATGACAAAAAATTTGAAATTGAAAAACATGAAACGAGAATTATGCTGATATAATCTCTTCGTTATAAAGATCTCACATTTATTTTCAACCTTTAAAACATAATTTTTTGAAAGGAGAAGAAAAAAAGTTGACTATTAATAAAAGGAGGATTGACAGAGGGGGAGCGGTTATATCCAACATATGTTTATCCTCGGCCAAATCTGATCCGAGGAGATATACAGCCCTGGCCTGGGCTTGACATTCAAATGGGGCCCCTCCGACTTCTTGAAATAGTCCCCAAATATACATTTACTGAATTCTTATTCTGTCGCATATATAATCCGTCAGGAATATTCTAAATTAAAAATACTAGGGGAAGGGTAAGCCCTTCAGCCTAAGAGCGGACCAACCCCCATTTTACAAATCATACAACTGTTCATTTAATTATCCGACTTATTGCTTAAATTTTATAACTATAATTAACATGTATTCTGTAGTTCAGATAGTATTATTTTTTATCAAAATAAAGTAAACACAACGAAATCTAAGTTCGGACCAATTCCTTTTCTATTTTTCTTAATAACTATAATTATATCACAATATAATATAAATAATGATATATATAATATAATTATTAATATATTGTATTCTAGGGAAAAATGTCTTGGTCGAATTAGGTCCAAAAATAACTTCTGTCACCTAGATAAAATCAAACTACCATCTCCAGATGAATACCATTGTCCGAACAAATTTTTGGTGAAAAATCATTATTTTGTATTATGAGAGTAGGTGATTACAGAAGCTCAATACTGTAACGAAGACCACACGGAGTAAACCTATATTTTGTATTAGGATAGTAGGAAGTGACAGGAGCTCAAATCACGTGTAATTAAATCAACAGCTGTATAATTAGAGCTAATTATAGAGCTAATAGGAGAGCTCCTGTAATCTCCTAGTATTCTAATGCTAAAATAAAATGAAATACGAAAGTCACTAAAAACCTTTTTATCTAATAGAGAGATATGTGTATTATGACTCATCATGAAATTAGATATAGGTCAATATAAATTCGAAATTACAAGATCATAATCGCACGTCCTCTTCCCTTCCAAAAACAAATGCATTTTTTGCAAATTTTACTACTTTGTTTTATTAAGCACATAATATGGCATTACAACAGATTATTATGACAAATTCAGCTGATTAAAAAATGTAAAAGGATATTTTGGAGAGCGATAACTTTGATAATAGTGCGGTTGTAGTTGCGGATAGGTCAATGAAGTCACACTAATCAAAACACACTAATATGTCGGGCTCAATGTGCCTATGGTTATTTCGAGCCTACGTTCCGATCCAATTTGAACGTCTTCATTAGGGCTGTCCAGAGATGCACTAGTCCGCCGTCATTTGGTCCTTTGATCCTGTCAATAGACCAGTAGCGAGGAATCAGGATTTGATTTTGGGTTTTGTTTTTTTTCTTCCCCTTTCTTTTTTTTAACGGTAATTACTCTGGAAGAAAAAGAAAGAAAGTATATAAAACGGTATTTTAGATCCTTGAAGGTTTGTTAAACATTTTTTTCTTGATAGGTGTTTACATTTAGGAGTGTCCAGAAGAAAAAGTTGTGAGAGGGGGTTTGAATTTTTGAAGGGGGCAACTTTCGACGGGGTTATGAATTTTCGGACTAAGGAACAAGGGAGAAAACATGGAGTATACCGCTGCATGTGTAATTGTATATTATGTACGATTCTAATTCTACCTTACTCTTCTACCTTCTACCTTGCTCTGTTTTTAAGAAAAGTGAGCAATAAAATATCTTGAGAGGGAGGGGAGGCAGGTTCTTGCGCTATCGACCTTGGGGGAGGGATGGGCACCCCTGAGTAGCTTCAAATGCATTATAATTTCTGCGCCCCAGAGGTAAATGATGCCATTTACTTTTTTTTATGAAATCATTTAGTAACTAAGAAACATATTTTAATAGCTCTAAGTTATGGAAAATTAGCTCAATTGAACTAATACAAAAATGGACAGAGTGTTCTTTATCTCCGGGGCATAGATTTAGAAAAATAACTTAATAATTGAGATATAGTTCAGAACATTAAGTGAACAACAGTTCAGAACAATCACGAAAACAAATGTGAATTAACGAAAAAAAAAATTTTTTTTTTGGTAGGCTCTAGTGCCCTCTTTCAGTCTCCTCTGGCTTCTAATGCTAGTGATGCGGCTGGAAAAGTGGCACTGGGATCTCCTGGAGTCTTGCTTTGCCTTCCACATGTGGAGAAAAATCCTGGCTCGGAGATTCCTGGGCGAATGTATATATTGTGTATAGGTATGATTGTGTTTAGAAGTTTCTATTTTATGTAAATTTTTTTTTTTTTTTTAATTTTTATTTACTTTCTTCATCAGTATTATTTATTTACTTTTTATATTTATATTTATCTCTCTATAGTTTGTGTATATTGTATGAATGAGAACTTTTAGCCCTCCAGCAGTAGCTGATTGTATTATTATTCAATAAATAGATTACTAAAAAAAAAAAATTTGTTTTCGGGGGTTGGGAGAGGCAGACTGAAAGCTTCCCCCTCCCGTAGATCCGTCATTCCTCTGGACTGGCCTGATTCAGGAATGGAAATATTGAGAAAAGCAAATCTGTATGTATCGAATCCGAATAGAATAGCTTAAAAGGTTTACGTCCTAATAGAACTTAAAACATACAGGTTGTGCCGAGGTTAATAGGAGAGAGGTATTACCTTGAGGTTTTTATTTCAAAAATTTAGGTGCTTATTATACACCTTTTTCGACCCAGATGGCGAAGATTATTATTCAGTCATAAGTGGTTTAAAGCGAACGTGAAAAGAACATAGAATGATTGAAAAAGCAGTTAAAATTATAATCTTACGTAAATGACGAAAAAGAAAAAAAAATCTAGAGAGGATACCAACCGGCTGACCTTGCGGGAGATCTGTTTACAAATAGCGGGAGAGGAAATAGCCGCAGCTGTTGTGGACGACCGGATCGCCGCTAAGAGCTCTTGTCAGTGTGGGTAGTGTACCGCACCCATACCGTAAGCTATGGGGGGGGGGCAAACACTAAGCGAAATTAATGAAAGGTAAACAAAGTCGTATATAAATCAACTTTGATATATTACGGAACGAGTGTTCAACGGGTACGATGAGAGAGTGCATCCTGGTTCCACTTCTTTGAACCAACAGATAACATACCTACCATCCAAGGGCATCGAGGACTACTTTGCATGAATATATGCTTCCACAGAGTCTATACTAAGTATTATATTCAGTGAAACCCAACTTAGCCAACCCTTAAATTAAGCGTATAGCGAGGGGTGCCTTGAAATTCAACTTGACAAACTAATAATGCAATGAAGACATTAATCAACGGACTATCATCAAGTTAAAATTGTAAAATAATGACCTTTCTGAGCATTGATTAATGCTACTAGAATTAGTTATCGACCCACATTTTCGGTCCTCATTAGGGCTAAAATGAATGATAGAAATAAGGTAAAACTATAGTGGGAGTTTAGAAGATGTATATGGAACAATTGCCGAAAATCTGGATGTAGAATAGTAAAACTATTTCAAACAACAATTCGTATGTACCTATTTCATTACTACTTTAATCAATCCCTTATTCAATCTTCTTCACTCTTTTTTTTCTGTTATTGTTTATCACTCTTCACTACGCCCGATATTACTTTTTCAGTACCATTGTTATATAATCATTATCAATTTTCATATCAAATAAATATACTAATTTCCTTTGTCAGTTATTATATCGTACACAATTATCATGCCTTTTTCTATCTTTTACTTCTATTATATCCAACTTTTTTATATTTACATTCATGTTAGTTCACATCACTTTTTTTATACTCCTACAAAAGTTTCATCTTTTTTTATAGTCCCCATGAGGATTTGAAATGTTGCTCGAAGCATTAGAATTGAAAAATAATGATCACTTATTTAATGTTGTTTCTTTAGTAACTTCCATCCCATCTCCTTTATTTCTCATACGTTTAATCATTTACACTTATTATAGGTCATAGATGGGGAACCTGCGACCTCTAGGGCGCATGTGGACCCCAAACGTTTTAGAGCGATATTTATAAATCTAGCCCTAGGATTACTTAATATTTAATTATTTAGGGTACGAAAATTAGAAAAGTAATAAAATAAGATGATAATATGAATATGGGTGTTTGTATTTAATGATAAATAAAAATAGTAACAGTAAAATATAAAGAATTGTTGCGGCCTCCATTAGCACTGCCTAACCTTACATCTAATGATGAAAAGGTTTTCCACTTATGTTATAGGCAATAAGAAAATTTATTTATTTTTTTTTGCGAAAAATAACAATAAGAAATAATTAAGAATAAGTGAACACACAGGTTTGATGTAAATATTATTAACAATCACCCCTCTAGTGAATATCATCAAAACATGAACCTAATACCTTTCTATTGATCCATGCCATGTATTGCCCAAAACCGATAGGTGATCATTTCCATCGCCACGGGGATATTACTTTCAATATAGCTCGACCACGGTTGGTAGCCATTCCGGTGGCGAACTCAAGCGGCTCTAAGCTGAAACTAACATAATTTTGTTTTTTGTTAAACTTCAATTTAACTTACAAGTTTACACATAGATTATGAGCTGATAGCAAATATTTAGTATGCAATATCGGAGTCAAGATAAAAAACAAAATATAAGTTTTAAATCATTGCCTCGAGAGATGAAATTATGATCATGTTTCCTTGGTACTGCTCACAGCAGACTCCGCTTTTCAGTGACTGCTGGCAGTTGAATACAGCTTTGAAGGATTAGGCGCTTCAAACTTCATTGGCACTGCTCGGTAGTCTTGTATGACGTCATCTATTTACTACTACTCGGCTCCAGCAGCAGAGAACGAAAACGTCAAACAATAACTAAAGGAAGTAACAAATGATAGTCGAGGCCCGACGCTACGGTGAGCAGTACCAGCGAAATTCTACCACTACAAAGTGAGTGAAAATAATAATATGAAAATAATAATAAAGTCTTAGCGAACCCGAAGGTTCGATGCCAATATCATTAATCGCTGTACACATACTTCCATCTACTGACCTCTGTCCAAACCCAAACCCGCCAGGTCGGCCTTAACGCAACCATCATTTTGCCAAACCCTCAGACGTTTATCAACCAGCTGGCCCATATTAACCTTTTGGGAATTCGTTCCACATTAAGTCAAATAATTTTACACGCCCAGTTTAATAGCCACAAAACTTTTATCGCAAGTATATCGCTACTGTTAATGCAAAAGATCGCATGTAACAATTTTTTATGTTAATTCTATTTGTGCTAAAGTTGGCAGTCTGTAGTCTACAACAGCAATAAATAGTCTGCTACTAGGGAAAATAAAATATGAAATTATATTAATAAACCATAAAGAAATAATAACTTTTGTAAAAAAAACTCAATTTTTGCATACAACCTTTTGCACTAACAGTAGCGATAATTCATCAAGTAAAGTTGACACAATCCAACATTGTGTAATCGTCTAAATTATCTAGTAATTTTCCCTTTTTCGGTACAACTATTATGCGTCGTTCATTTATTGTAAACCGCCATGTTTCGCATCCGTAAAGAACCTTAGGAAGTATAATATTTTTGTAGACTATTATTTTTATAGTTTTGTAAATTAAAATCTTTAAATTTCGGGATAGAAAATAGAAAAGCTAAGTAATTAAGAAAATGAAAAATAACAAACATTTCCAGCCATGAACCTAGCCTTCTTTTTCTCAAAAATAGATTATTTAATTACTGTCGAATTAAAAAAGTGAATGCTGGGAAAGGTAAGAAAAAAAATGCTGAATTTGCATTGAATTTGAATTATTATCTTTGGAAAAATAAATAAACTGGTTTATAAACAAAATATATTTAAAACTAATCATCACTGGAGAGGGAAAGTATACTAGAAACAAAATTTCAATTTATTAATATCTGTATTTTAAATTGAATAGTTTTATTCAATATTTATATCTCGACTCTGATTGGAAAAAAATCCAATTAAATTTACTGCCGTAGGTAACCGGTTAATTAAAAACAACACAGCTTCCTATTAAAAAAAACAATAATAATATTAAATAATGAAATTGGGAAAATAATATTTTTTTACAGTTAAGTGCATTTTTTTAATCGTGACTTCGTAAACATCTAAAATTCTTAAACAGAAATAGTGGGAAAATACCAAGGATGGGCAACTGCTACTCTGAATACTGAGTAACTAGTACTTTACACAAATACTGAACTTTTTTGAGTACTATAGAATTTAATTACTATTTCAGTTGATGACAAATTAACGATTAACGCGATTGGATTTCCAATAGTTATACAATTTGAGTAAAATACTTGGTACTCATTACTCAGAGTAACATACCCAGTAATGACCGATTATTTGAAAGTAACCGGTTAGCACAGTTCAAAATCTAAAGTAGCAATAAAACACACGGACAATAAATGAGTTCAAGTGGTTGCACAATAGAGCGAGGGGCGGTAGATGCCTTCAAAACTTAATAATAATTTCAGACTTCGAATTAACCGAAAGTTTAAATAATGAAGGAACTCAGTTAATGGCAGCGATCCAGCAAATTTTGGCTAATGAGATCATTCATAATTAGGATCCAAATTATAATCATGCCTCTATCATAAATCCAATACAGGCTACGGTATTAATAAACGTGCTGCAAACATAGATTGCACCCAGACACCAAGATAAATAAATAATGTAAACAAAATGGAATATTTAATTAGCCGGAGAGCCTATATTATATATAGCACACCTACCTTTGCCAATGGATTCTTGTATTTCTATTCAGGAGGGATATATCAAAAAATAAAATAAATAAATGAAATAATATAAGAACCTACTTCAGGTTCAGTCAAACAAACCAAATTATTCAAATATTATGAGCAATGAAATAAATAAGAACGTTTTAAAAATTCATGATTATAAAGGTCGCTTAAATAAGAATAGGATTTATACAAAAGAAAGTTGTAACTCGATTCATCATTACATACGGTTTCAAGAAGTCCTTAGTTAAAACCTGAGAAAGACGTTTTGATTCCTTTCCCATCATAAATATTCATGATGTTGCTAATTTTTCATCCTAAACATTTATACAAGAGGTTGAAACGTCTGAGGAATTTTTGTTTTTTTTTAAATAAAAGTTATAAGGAACGTTTTTGTAATAAAGGTCTAGGTTTATGATAAAAGTTTTAACTTTTATTTATTTATTCTTCGTAAGTTCTTAAAAAAAAAAGTTGCGTGAAACGATAAATAAATTAGAGTTATAATTTATCTTACAGGTATTAATTGGTTCTAATGTGTCATTTGTTTGAGTAGCTAAAAGAGTAAAAGTAATTTTTTATATCGATCTTTAGGCAATAAATATAAGTTTTTTGTCTGTAAAAACTAGGAAAAAACGAAATTAAAGAGCAGATTAAGGTTAGGCTGAAGTTATTTTTCTGTGACAAAACTACTAAGCTCGCGCATAGTGTCCCGAAATTTAAAAACAAGAATCTATAAAACCATTATCCTACCTACAGTTCTTTATGGGTGCGAAACGTGGCCGCTTAAATTAAGATATGAGCAACGTCTTAATGTTTTTGAAAATAAAGTATTGTGTAGAATATTCGGACTGAAGAAAGATGAGTTAACAGCAGAGTTTAGAAGGTTGCACAACGCCGAGTTGCGTGAACTGTATCCAGTTAATATAATTGAGGTGATTACATCGCGGAGAATCCAATGGGCTTGTAAAATAGTTGGGCTTAGTAACGAAAGAATCCCTAAAAGGTTGATATTTGATGTACCGAATGGTAAACGTCCGAGAGGTATACCAAAGCGAAGGTGGGAAGATTGCGTTAAAGCCGATCTGAAGGGACTGGGTTTGGACGGCGAACGGTGGAGGGAGGTCTGTATTAAGCGATTGGTGGTGTCGGCATCGAATCTCCGGGTTCGCTAAGCATTTATTATTATTATTTTTGTCAGTAAAACCTTTACTTGAAAAGTCGCAAAAGGGAGTTTTCTAATTCCAAAATAAAAAATTGAAAATAAGGATTCCAAAGTCACACCGAAACTGGTTAAAAATAAAAGTCAAAACTTCATTTCGAATCCTGATTCCTCCATTTCTGCCCTATGAACCCATAAGTTTCATGTTGTTTTTAAAAGAAGAAAAAAGCATGATTTAAAAAAACAAACAATAACCATACAATAACATGGTAAAAATTAATAGTAGCTGTCTCGAAAAACAAAAAAAGATTTTGATTCGTCAAGTTTCAACGAAAGAAAAATGTGTAAATGTCTTCTCTTCTGAAAAGATTACGACAAAGGATGGCCGTAGAAATAGTACCATGTGCCAAATTGGACAAATAACAAAATCACCAATGAAACATTTATTTAAATAGAATTTGATTTCAAAGAATAGTTTTTTAAGGAGAATTTATCTTAGAAGCAGCCAAAGAATAAAAGCAAACAATTGACCGTAAACATATTTTTAACTAGCGCTTCTCTGTGATTTCGGCCTCATTAAATGCCTGTACAAAGGGCCTTAACTAGATGTTTTTCTATTTCGCGTCAAGATACCTAAAATAATCGTCAATATAATTTTAAAAATGTAATTTAGGTAATGTGTGTCAAAATAATTAGCATCGTCTTGTGATAAAAACTCACTTTATTGATTGAATTAAGGTCAAACAAATCTAAAAAGTAGGACCAAATACTTTTCTAGTAAATCTAAAAAAAAAAAAAATCACCAGAATTTTTTAGCTTACTAATTCTGTCTTCCCGGGGTCAACCTGCTTTGCCACTGCCTTCTGAACACGTAGTAAGAACAATATAAAATAATATCGTGGTAATGTACATATCAAAAACATACTATAGTACTATATATAAACATCAAGAGCAATATGAAACTGCAAGCAACTACTAAAATGGAACGGAAAAAAATCACCACACTAAACTAACATTGCATAAATAATCTTAAGCTCTTTCCGAATCGCTGAATAAGTAACACCAAAGAATAAGCATTTTACAAGTCTTTTCTTCTGAATATCATGAATAAACTACGGTAAAGACAAGACATTTGAATTTTCCAATATAAAGGACATATCGTGGGCCCAGCTTAAAAAAAAAATAAAATGTTGTAACTTAAGAATCGCCCTAAAATTAGAATGAAGGCATAATCTATTACATATATAATAATGATTTTTGTCCAAACTTATTTGAGTTTTAAATGGCTAATTAACTATCTAGAACTAAAACGTTATACTATTTCGATTTATTATAATTTTCCTGGAAAAAATGGATATTATGTTTCAGGCTGCCCTTATCAACAAACGGATAATATACCAATTAAAACACCAGTTTAAATAAAATGGAAAAGATTAAGAATGTGGGTATAATATTCTGAAGGCAATTTCGAAAATTAATCATCGTAAATAAAATAATTTCTGGCAAAAATTATGTTAGTTGTAGATTGAATTAATCAGCTGTAGACGGCAGATGAACTTCGGGACTGGTGCACTTCAGTACAAGCAGCTCACTCGGATCCTTTAACACGAGCAATGGCGACCGAACAACTGGAATGCTTCTTTGTTTCTTTCACTGAAAGGAACTGGTTGTCCATTTACAAACCACGTCCCAGTGGTCGGAGACATAGAAGAGATAGCTATAATACTAATGGAAGGCTTTAGTGGTCAGGTTTTCTCGTTTACACAATATCGGGACGTTTCTTTAAATTTTCAAGTAACTAGGTAATTTTAATTTGGGCCATTCTTCAAATTCGGTACAAAAGTTGACTTTTGAATTTTGTTATTGTCTTAAGGAAATGCTCTGTGAAATCTTTTTAAAGTAGACACACAAATAATAAAATTTTACAAGTCGAGATACAGATTTTTTTAAATAAAAATCTTATTCTAATGAATAAAATATTCGACCAGAAATGACAAAACTAAATAGTCCTTACCAGGTGCGTTCATTACTCAAATAAGACAAAAACACGAATACTGGCAGAATTGAGTTTGTTGAGCTGTAGTGAGTGAACATAAACAAAAATGGTCAAACTCTTTATCTTCATTAACAGGCTCTGGAAGCCGCCGAAGATGTCACAAAAGGGAACAAAGGAGACAAAATATTTTCTACTTTGTACAAGTTTGTTCTGATCACTTCTCAGCAAGAACTTTTCCTTTCCAAAAGTTTATTGGCAGCATTTCAAAAAATAGGTTTGGGAGTGACTGAAAACGGTGATTGATATGTTATATATTAAATTAAAATTTTGTTTTATACAAATCGTTTTGAAAGAATTTTGAAAAAAAAAGTTGATTTTACATTTTTAGATTTACTACGGAAGAAACAGGAGTGTGTAAAATTAATATTTTATAAATTAAGGATGGAATGAGTAACCTTAAGTAAGTTGCAGGATCCCAAAACACTTTCCCCCAAAAGCGCATAAACGAAATATTTGCATCAAGATGATATTTTAAACCTGAATGAAGCTATTTTGAACCTGGAAGAACAGGTGACTCGATCGATCAAAGAGGACAGTAAACAGGAAGCAATCGGGTACTAACTTGTTGCCCTTTTTCTACTGTACCAGTTGGCTGGTGCATTTTAGGCAAACAAAATGTCGGAGCAGTTACCGTGCAGCTTGGCACAGAAGAGGCACGGGAAATAACGATCTAGGTAAATTTTCAAGTTAATTCATTATTAGCCATATTTACACCAATTTTTAAAATTTTTTGTCAACTTAATGACTACTCATCACAATGACGACGTTTCGGCTCGTCGAGCCATTTTAAAGTCTAAAAAAAATTTCATTTTTAAATTTAAAATTAAAAAAAAATATATTTAGACTTGAAAATGGCTAAACTAGCAGAAACGTCGTCATTGTGATAAGTAGTCATTAAGTTGACAAAACATTTTAAAAATTGGTGTAAATATGGCTAATAATAAATTAACTTGGAAATAAATAGTATGCACCGAAGAAGAAGTGAGAAATATTGTGAAGATCTATGTTAACTTTTTTAAATGTTAGATGATTGCATTTTAAACTTCACTAGCTTAAAAAATGACATTTTAACAAAAGAAATGAAAAAAATACGGCTGGTCTCTAAAACAAAATATTTGAGTTTGAAAAAAGTTGAATTAAAAGTGAACATTGACATCGAACACCTTTCCTCTTAAACCTTCATATAATATTAAGAAAATAATATAGATCAATGACATTTTCATAAATCTATAATCAAGTGGATTACATGATAATTAAAAAAATAAATCTGTAATCTACTATTTACTTTGTTTGAAAGGAAGTATATTTTTTCGCGGTTGTGATTTGAGATCTTCCAGAATACATTTTTTTTTTTAATAATCTCTTTCAACAATTAATGTTGATGCTTTTATTTCAATAATCTTAAGGATAAGACTTTCTTATCACATAATAAAATGGAATCGATCTAACTTATAATACTGGTCGCTCAGCCATGGGTTTTGAGGGTCTCTTAAATTAAAGAAATTCAAAAAAGATAATATAGATGCTGTAGGATATTATTCAAAATAATATGGCGCTAGATTGAAAGGCAGTTAAATAAACTTTGCATATGCTTCAAATTGATGTATACATAGGGGATGTAAGTATATGTTTACATACGTCTAGATTTGTTTTTGATAATATTAATGGGCTAATTAATTTATATAAGTAACTAAAAGTATAATTCTAAAAACATTAGAACTGTGATGTTGCTCGTACTGACTGAATATTCAATGACAACCTAAGCCCTGAAATACAGACTGATGTGGAGAGTTACATGTCAGTAATCTCCAGCAGGGAAAGCTCCGTGTGATCCACCACCCGGACAAAATCTGTCTGGATTTTATATTACAGGGAGCGGATTCGACGAGAGGGGAGCAGGCTGGATGAATGCCATACTGGGATTAGCTTCGTTAGGATCCTCCATCAATAGAACTAGCTTCCTTTTTACTTTCTTCACAATTTATAAGCCCAGGATAAGGATCGGCAGGTGTCAGTCATTATCCAATATTACCTAGCTAAATAAATTTAACAACCACAGACATCAGGTTTCATGTTTGCTAAACAATTGTACCGACTGATACTAAAGAATCTTTTTATAAATCCGTGAAGGTA